GAGCATGTTCGGCCGACCCGAAGCCACACGAAGCAAGCCGATGTACGGCTGATTTCAGCCGTACCAGCCTGAAGTGAATAGCCGAACAGTGTTCGGCTCACTTCACTTCAGATCGGTCTTTCACTCGGCTGCCCTCGGCAGCTTAGTGAATAGACCCCTTGGTGACAACAGCTCCCCACATTTCATGATCTGACATCACAAGAACAGGAAGGTCTACAAATAGTCATATATTTTTTTATCAAGATGCTACTCACAGCTTCTCATAACAACATTACCCATGTCAGGGACAGATGATGTATAATGCATTTTAAGAATTTGTTTGACCTTATTATATGGAATGTGTAAAACATTTTTAAAATTACCATGCAAGTTACAGGTTAGTGGAATTTTCAGCAGTATTTAAAGCTTGTCTCCAGTTTGAAGAAAAAACACCTTGCAGTGGGACTACTCCGCACTGCAAGGGTTAAATGCTCATTAATTTCTAGAGGGATTCTGTAGGGAAGTGTTACTTACCTGATACCCACTCTCGCAGGCTCTAAGACCGGCACCTGCAGCCTCTTACCCCCTCTGCTTCGGTGATCAGAAGTCCGCTGATGTCTATAGCTCTGCCTCACACCTGAGGAGGCCGAGGAACAATCGGGAGCAGAGGGGAGAGAGTGCTGACCGCTGAAGGTGGGGATCAGGTAAGGTAAACTGCTTTACAGAGTACCTCCAGACAAAATGAACAGTTAACTCTTGCAGTGTGGGGGTAGCCCCACTGCAATGGGAGGTTTTTCTATATTCAGAGATAAGCTTTAAAGGAACAGTTCTCCCAAAAGTAATATTTTACTTACAGATGGAGCCTGCTAGGTTGAGACGGTCTTTTTCTTTTTGTATTTCTCGAAGGTTACTGAAAGAGTAGATCTCCCTTTTTAAAATGTTCAACTTCCTATCCTCCTGGGACTTTTGGGTGTTCTACCTCCTGCTAAAAATAATACATTCTGTAGAGTGGGAATCCCTCATAATGGCCACAGCAGGTGTGCAGACCTGGGAGCTCCAGTGCAGTGATCTAACTGAAGGAGTCCGATAGAACCTCTCAGGAGGTTCAACTCTTACACATCTACCCAAAACTAAAATACAAGTTAGACTAATCCACCAACAACAGTATTACCAGACAAAACTAAAATTCAAACTGGCTCCATCATGTGTACCTGTGCTTAATTGCTCTATATTAACAATGTTTTCAATTTATTGTAGGTATGAAAACAACTGGACAGAAACACAACCTAAGCAGACCCCACCTCAGCCATCTCAACCCAGGTTGGTGTAAAAAGTTGTCTATTGTTTCTCTGACAATTACATATCTATGAAATTAATATTGGCCATAAATAAGTAGTTTTCTGAGATAAAAGAGGACCTGCTGTGCAGAATGTGTTGGCTTAGCATGGCACCCATATCTGTTCCAGTAGACAGTGCCTACATCTCTAAACTGGCTTTCTGTGTCTAATGCCGCAGAACAGAGGTGATAACCTCTTCTCATTGTTCCCCTGGAGGGTGCCATCTACTATTCTCGCCTATTCCTTTTGGGAATCAGTGTTATACCACTTTCAAAATATATCGCTTTGACTATGAATCTGCCAATATGTAATATGATTTATACAATTGGTCTAAAAACTCTGTTTCTTTGCAGTACAGTTCACCTTTATTAATAAAAACAGAAACATTTTTACCTATTTGCTTCTAAAAATACAGTGGGGGAATTTATAAAAAAACTGGAGCAGACAAAATCCGGAGCAGCTGTGCATGGCAACCAATCAGCTTCTCTCTTCAATTTGTTCAGTTAAGATTTGAAAATGAAAGAGAGGCTGATTGGTTGCCATGCACAGCTGCTCCACATTTTGTCTGCTCCAGTTTTGATAAATTCCCCTCAGTATGTTGGCTAAAAACATTTGCATACTGTATACGATGCTTCCTGTGCATATTGTTACTAAATCATAACAGAGTAGTTTTCTTAGACAATGTTGTAACTGGATGGGCCATTTTGTTATTCTTTTGTAACAATACGCACAGGGCCTTGTGACATATAGGCCAATATGTATAACAGTCTGATTAATAAAAATGTTTCTGATTTTGTAATAAGTAGTAAAAATAATCCAATGAGGTTCCACTGTGCTGCCAAAAAAGCAAAGAGTTGGATTAATTGTATACACGATTCATGGTAGGAATGAACACTGTAGGAGCTCTGAACCTCTAATATAAACATAATTGCTCTCATTATATTTCAGTTACTATATTGTGTAATTTTATTTCTCAGGGTGACAGAGAGAAGCAGCAGCCCCAGGATGACCTCATATTCTATGACTAGCAGTGCTGATGGCAGGAGTTCCCCTTTAAAACCTGAAACTGGGAAGATCACAGTGGTCAGAGATGAGAGGTACGCTCTAATTTATTGCAGGGAACATATCTAAGTTCTAAATAACTGAACTGCATGTGCAAAATACAAAAACAGGAAAATGTCAGCCTGATGATAGTTAAAAGTAATGGTGATGATGACGACGACGACGACGACGACGACGATGAAAAAAACAACTATAATGTTTATCAGTGGTATCCTGCGTATTTTCTCAAGTCAGGTTTTATTGAAATTCTTTCACATAAATATGATACATGAACACTAGGATCTGTTTGCTGATTGTCAGCCTGGCCATGCACATTAAAATATGGTAGTATGCTGTAAGATGGCCACACATGTTACAATTTGACTGTACAAACTCTGAGCAATCATTACATTTACCAGCAACTATGCAGTCTGAGGGCCTACAAGGGTCTAATCATGCATTTATTATTGAAGAAGTAATCCCAGCAGTCTTTCAGCACTTCAGTGCCTGACATACACATAGCACAGTGGTGGTCAACATACAAGGTTTAGGGGGTGTCAACTGTGGCCTATGAGATCTCTAAAGGACCACACATAATATTAAGTATATGACAGAAAATTGTTGGAGACTTTAGACATACAAGAACAAATGGTTAGAGAGATGAGCTCAGATTCACTCTGAACTTGAGTTTGCCAAACCCGGAAGGAAGCTATCAATGCCAGTCCAATCAGCTGAGATCAGGGTATTTCTCACCCCACAGCTGCCCGTAAACAAAGGGGCAGGATACGAATGAGACCGTTGACCATATATACTGTATAGCCACATGGCAATATTAGATCAATCTCATTGACCAAATCCCCATTGGTGAATGAAGACACACTGCAGGAGACAGTCAGGGATTGGGAAAGTGCTACAGAAGACTGCTATAGATGGCTGTCATCAAAGCCTCTTTACATGTGTGTGCTTCCGTTAGGGCAAAGGGATGCACAGCAAGTACCAAGTGACTGCTTGTGGCCCTCGGGGTGCAATTTGGGCACCAGGAACACAACACACAGAGGGACATTGAAAGTTAGCCTGCCCTCTACATGGAATTGTCAGCGAAATATGTTGTTTGCACAACAACTAGCTAATAATAACCTCTATGTGTTTTCAGCCGCAATGAAAGCAAAGACGTTTCCAAACCACCAACAGAGAAAGAGAGCTCTACAACTGTGCAAACCACCCGAACTCAGAGGTAATTGTGAAAAACTGTATGATAGGAGACTATAAGCCGATATTTAGAACTTTAAAAATGAGTATCTTTGGCTATTACCATGTGCTTTCAAAACCAAAAGCCCGACTCCAAACATTTGTTTAAGTTTTGGATACAGCGGTTAAAAGTTAGAATATCTGACAATGTGTTTGCTGTTGTCTGTGCCTTCCTGTCTTGGTGACAACAGCTCCCCACATTTCATGATCTGGTGTCACAAGAACAGGAAGTGAGGAATAACCTCACCAATGGAATCACAGAAAGGAAAAGTGGCTGAAATTTTAAGCCTTTACAACCTTATCCAAAACTGATGAAAACATTTGGTTTGAGTTTGGCTTTAAATATTGGCTGTTAAGAATAAAGATCAGACAGTTTCACGGTCACTGTAACATATTGTTGTGTTTTCTTAGAGTGACAGAGAGAAGCAGCAGCCCCAGACTGACCTCCTATTCTATGAGCAGCAGCATTGATGGCAGAAGTTCCCCAGTAAAACCTGAAGCTGGAAGGGTCACAGTAGTCAGAGATGGAGGGTATGCTCTCATTTACTACTAGGATTCTATTCTGCAGTCAAGCTAAATGACTGAATTATACGGATATAAATTTATTTTTCCCACAGCAACCAATTACATTCTTGCTAAAACTAACTAAATGAGACACATTGGGGATTAATCTGTTGGCTAATTCTTGGAGGTAGCACAGATAGTCCTTTCTCTACAATATCTAACTGTAGGGAATCCACAAAGTAAAACAAAACACAAAACAAAAAACAGTTAACCAAAAACACTGAGAGCAGCAGTGCACAGATCACAATAAAATAACACAAAGAGAAAAAACATCACTACAAAGAACAAAATAAATAAATAAATGCCCCTAAATACAAAAAAAACCCAGACACAGTCTGCATTAGTTCAAATTATTTTTCGTATCATGACAGGTATACCAATGGACAAGCAGTCTTTAAAAAAAATGTCTACACAACTGAGGACAATTAAGTTTCAGAATAAAACAGCTTTGTAGAATTGGTAGCATGCAGAGAACTAAGACTTGGCTGCACAAAAACAATCTGATTAGTAGGTTCAGGTTGCCCTAAAATATTTGCTTTCATTTGTGACTGGAAATCTATGTATACACATTGGAATGTGCCCAGGCAATATTTATATTCAGCATGCTTCTGTAGCGTGTTCATATATTATATATCTCCTTGTAACCACTCTTACCTGTAGACATATCTCACTGCAATGAATGGTGATTACACAAGCGTGAAATATAAAGATAGAAATGTCACAATTATTGTTCTCTCTGTACAGGGTGGAGGTCAAAGACAAGAAGGATGGATCTTTGCCGAAATCTCTTGAGTCATACCTGTATGAGGATGCTAGCAGGTAATCCTCTCCGAATGCTGGAAGACTGGTTTATTTTATATTGTTTATGGACGGTGCAGCTGCACCCGGGGCCCAAGGCTGGGGGGGTCCCAGTGAGATCTGATCCCGGGTACCCATTGCTGGAACACGTGACAGTACAGGTTCCCGGGGAAAGGAGGGATGCCCGACGGGCTTCTAGCTGGGGGGTGTGACCTCATATTCCACGCCTTCTGACTCCCAACACTGCACGCCCATCATGATGACTGACAGCAAAGGCACCAATAGAATTCGGAGTATTGATTCTTGATTGGTCAGGGCCGAGCCTAGGAAAGAAGCTTAGATCGTCTATTGGCACTTCACTCCACCTATTACAGTAAGCGGCCAGTATCGTCTTGGCAACCGTGTTCCGGCTGATGAACTCAACTTGTTCCCGTGGATGTGACGGACCTCTGCGGGTGTGTGTACCAGGGAGAGGAACGCAGAGGATGCTCAGACAGAACACCAGAGCGGGTAGGGCTGCTTGCTCCCACCACCCTCATATGACCTGTGGCTTCCAGCCCTGCATGGCATCGCTTCTATACCTGGGGCAGTAATGCATTGTACCCAGCCGCGGGGTGTGTAGCGCTGACTTATGGAGGATCGGTGTGTGCAGAGTTTATACGTTGTAAAAGTTCTCCGGGCGCTGACTGTCATCACACCGCTGAACAGCATGGAGGCAAGAGACAGGGGAGTGCGAAACTGGCGCTATAGGAGGAAACGGGGCTACAAAGTGGGCGCTAGGTAGACGGAAAATGGGCGTTAGGGAGGAGAAAATGGGCGCTAGGTGGTCACAAAGTGGGCGTTATAGAAGTGAAAATAGGCGCTAGGTGGGCATAAAGTGGGCGTTAGGGAAGAGAAAATTGGCTCTAACGGGGCACAAACTATTGACACAACACTGGGAATGGTGGAAGCATTGAGTGTAACTGGTGGCCGTTTAATCGCAGATAAAATATTCCGGAAATGACTAGAGCCCATGTACTCCCACCTTACTTGAGATGCTTTATGCTAATATCTACAAATATAAAACGTGCTACTATGACCAATCTTCACAGGGCCACAGG